GCACGGATCGGTTTCAGAGGGGAGTGGAAATGGTTCTATAGTCTATATATATTAAACATTTAGATGCACTACAGACTGTAGTGCAAAATGTCTTCTGCAAAAATTTAAATCTAAATAAGTGATCTTGAAGTGCATTTTTTCTTGAATTGTGGAGACAAGTGAGACACTTTGCCAATGGAACAAGAAAATTTACATTTTAAATAAGAAATTGTTTTATTCCAAATGCACATTATCTTATTATCTTATTTTAAGATGATGCTCATTCCATTGGCAAATAATCTTATTTCGCTGCTCAAATTAAGGGTAAATACACTTAATTTAAGACATTTTTACTTATTTCCAGATCATTTTTGCAGTGTGCAGTGCAGGATTCCTATTGTGGCCTGAAAGCTTGTCCATCCATCAGACATCCCCGCCTATCATGACTTGTTTAATGGTGAATCTTAGTTTTCTGGAAAAGCACTGAAGGCTTATCACATTTTAAATAGTTTAAATAGTTTGCATAAACCACTGAGAAGGAGAGCGCTGCATCAGGAAGCGATAAAACGATGTCGTCCTCTCTTCTTTATCAGTCGGTAGACCCATATGCTGAGGTTAAAAACGTTTTTATTGGTGTTTTAAAGACATGAAGAACCACTTTAACATCTGCAGGTAGTTTTCTATCTACGCAAGCTTTGTTTTTTTTTTTCCCTCCAAGGAGGAAAAGTTGGGGGGGGGGGTCACGTTATTGGCAGCATCCTCCATGGTCATCTTATAAAAACATGCCATATTTTTCTGAATTTTATGCTAAAATTCCTTCTGCTTAATGTTTATGCTCTGCTTTCTGTTTGTCATTACATCAAATCTACCAAAAATATAATGTTTGTGATTTTATTGAGAAAACAGCAGAGTGTAAAAGGTGTAAAATCTTTTATAAAGTATTTTATAAACAGATCTTTCTTACAGACATCAAATGAAATCCATTTAATTCGGTTACCTTGAAAACATCACTACTCTTTGATGAAATTAAATAAATATTAATCTGTTTTTCAAATAAATCAAATGTGTAACATTTAACCCTCTTTTCACTTTCGTTTTTAAAGTGGAAACTGATGGTTGTGTTGAGCAGTTTGTGTTCATGCTTTTCCCTCCCTAAACTTATTCAGTGCAATAATAATATAGAATGTATTTAAGTTCATGAAATGGGAAACAGCGTCAGGTTGGGTGGAGGTTGGAGAGAAAGGACCCAGAGACTGAAACTGAAGGTGGTTTCTCACAGAGTTCATTTAAAAGTTGGCAACAGAAGCAAAAATCCAAAAAATCACTGAAAACCAGGAATCCTCCCAACAAAGGCAAAGAAATGATGACAAACCAGCAACAGTGACTGAGCAGGAGGTGTATATATGGGAGACAGAAACAAAGAGCAGGCTGATCAGCAGATTGGGAGCAGGTGTGGACAGAGGAGACTAGAAGGGAGCTAGGAGAAGGAGAGGGCAAACAAGAAATACCTAAACGCTCAAATACAATCTAAAATAAGTAGAAAAACACAAAAAGGAAATAAAAGTCATGAAAACTCGTAGATAAAACTGAAACAGAACTAAAACCAAACAGCAGCTAAAGCAAACGATTCAGCCTGTTTAGGTCCTTGATATGAACATAACTGAGTAGCATCTCCTGAATGATAAAACAGAGGCCAGTATCACTGAGAACTAAAACCATTTTTCCGGCTCAGCAGTGGAATAAGCTCGTTTTATTAGCAGCAGTAAATCACTTTAAGGTCTTTTTTTCTGGCGTTTGAAGTTTCACAGCCAAACCAACACAGACTCATTTGATTCTGTTTTCCAGGACTTCTGTGTGCCGCAGCCTCCCTTCATCCCAGCCAATTTCTCCAGACTGGGATCAGCTAGTGGCAGCCGGGTAATCGGACCTCTGTTTGTGCCCCTGCCCAACTCCACGGCGCTTGGCTGGGCTTCCAACGCCACGGCTCCCACGGCCTGGCCGCCGCTCAGCTCCCTACGACTGCTGGTGTCTCAGGAGGGCCAGTCTTGTGTTGAAGCCTGCCAGTCAGCAGGTTGGATCTGTGAACCTGCTCACTTCCCCTTCATTAACAACAAGGACGCTCTGCGAGGGTAAGAAGAACAGCAATAATCAGCTTATTATAATGAAACAAGAACAGCTTCATTAAAACTCACAACTATTACAAACATCTCAGCAGCTCAGGAGAGGAACTCTGTCCCTCAGAACATCACAGAACTG